CGCTCGTTGTACTTGGGTAGAAATTAGTCGGTTCTTTCATTCTACAAACGACAACAGAAAAAACAAAACACACCCAAGTAAAGAATAACAAAACGATTAACGCTTAACCCAAATAACCCCAGTAACCCAAGTAACCCCGGTAACGGTTTGGGTTTGTTGGGCTGTCGCTCGTTTTCGTTTAGCTCGGGATGAGGTAGCCATTACGCAAAGACAACAGTAAATACAGAATAAAAAAAAAATAAAAAACAGCGCAACAATACGTACAGAATGAAACACATAAAACAATAGAATGTTTAGCACTAGAATTCAACGCATAGCTAATGACATTACAGATACGGGCGTTTGCAACCTAAACACAATAAGACCGTAACCCCGTTAACGCCGTTAACCCCAGTAACGGTTTGGGTTTGCAGCAGCAAACAAACACTAACAATCTACGAAAAAAAAGAATGCAAAAGTTATGTTGATTTATGGTCAAATTTACTTGGCACACACTTTTTATTCGTTCTTTCATTCGTTCGTGAGTTGGGTTGGCTTGACTTGACTTGACTTGAAAGTTGCGGAGAAGGAGAGAGAGAGAGAGAGAGCACTCGTGATTGGAAAAGGTAAAGATGGATACACGTTACACTGTACACATTGAATACTCTAAACCCAGCAAAAGTTAATGTAAAAGTAAAAGTAAAGCAATGCAGCATACAGAGGGATATTGAATGGATTCACTGTTAACTCTAACTAAAACGCTTGTAACGGTTTGGTTACTGGTTATTTTTGGGAGTTTGGTTATTGTCAATGCAATCAAGAGTTCGTATACAAAAAAGAAATACGAAGAAAAAAATAAAAGAAAGAATTTAGAAAGTAAAGGACGGACTCATTCGTTAAAAAAATAGGGATAGGCAGAGTCGAGGTGAGCTCGGATGAATAGTAATAGATATAGACGAACAGGCAGGGGAGGAACCCAGGCAGAGGAGAAGAGAGGCTAGGTAGTAAGGTAGTACGTACTGTTGTCGGATTATCAAGTAACCCAAGTCAAAAAGTATGAACGCTAACTGAATGTTGAGTTGGAAATGAGTCTTGTGAATATATATATGTTTGTAATGTTGTTTTTTTTTTTTTTGGAATGATTTGTCGGTTCAATGTTGATGGAAAAATGATTTTGTTATATATAAAAATAAATAAAAAAACAAGTATATTGGTAATTTTCTTTTTCGATTTTGTCAAAGAATGAGAGAGAAAAACAAACAGTATTTCATTTCAAAATATGTAAAAATATAAAAAATTGTTAGTCAGATAAAACATTTCTCGGTCGATTTGAAGAAGATTTGGGTGAATAATTCGCGATGGAAAATTTTTGCAGGTGGAGGGGTGAGGGAGATATAGCAAAGTGTGGTGAACCCAAGCAAGGACTTTAGTAGTATACAGAGTTGGAAAAAAAAAAAAAAAAAGAAGAAAGGAAAGGAAAATAGTAATAAACGAATCATTATGAATATTCGCTTCAAATTCGTAAAATAAACTAATTAAAAAAAGAACCAGTACACATAGACATAGGTAGACATAGGCATAGACATAGACATATATAGGAACTAGTCAAAGCTAGGAACAATAACGGAGGTAGAAGGGAAGAGGAAAAGACAGCTGAAGATGAGATGATGAATTAAAAACAATTAAAAAAATAAAAATAAGGTAGAGAACGACTTGGTCAGTCGCAAAGATGTATGCACACACACACACACTGGGGTGTCAGACGCTCACACACACTAACAAGAGAGTCGCATTGTAATTTACAGTTCAATGGAAGAATCAAGAAAACTTGGAAAATGTCGTTTAAAAACAAAAGAAAAGTAGTTGTTTGGATGGTGAAGGAAGTGGAAGTAATAGAAGTGCAAAGACAC